AAACTAGGGGATTCCTGATGTGTCACTGATGTTGTTTTGTCCGGCCTTCCTCCCCTCACCCCCAGCTGGTCGCGGCAGATTGCTGCCCCTCTCTGAGCCTGGTTCTGCCTGAGAGTCCTTCCTGTTAAAAGGGAGTTTTTCATTCCCACTGTCGCCAGGTGCTTGCATGTACACTGAAAACAAAAGAACATGTTGGATTTACTTAATTCAACAGTGGAAATTTTTTGCACACAATTGTTTTGCTTTGGAAGAAACTTAAACAACTGAGTTAAATCCACACAACTTATTCATATTCAATAAAGCTGTGCATTTTGTGTTGATGAAATGTGATTGAAACATGTTTAAATGAAGTAAGTTGTCACTTTATTCCAACACTATTCAATAACTTTTACCCAAATACTACTTGGTCATGTAAATACTACATGTTGTCTTCATATTACATAATGTTCAACAAAGTCTAGATAACATGAAAAGTTAATGGATTCACAACAACTTCCACTGTATCCATCCTACTATCTTTATCCGGGTTGCAGAGGAGCTGGGGCATAACCCAGAAGTGATAGGGTAAGAGGCTGGGTACACCCTGGACAGGTCACCAGTCTCTCACAGAGAGACAACAACTATTTGCACTCACATTCACACTTATAGGTAATTTTGAATCGCCAACCTAAGTCAAATAACTGCATGACTTTTAACTGTGGGAGGAAACCAGATTACCCAGAGAGAACCCACTGCAAACTATCTAGATTGGGGATTTGAACGCACGCCCTTCTTGCTGTGAGGCAACAGTGTTAACCACCACGCCACCAAACTGTCAAACCAGGCTTAACAAAAGTATAGCTATGATTACAAGGCTTCATGCAGAATTTTCTTTATGTTTTTGTCCTTGACAGGTTAAACCACAATAAATAGCGATAATGCTGTGTGTGTGTGTGTGTGTGTGTGTGTGTGTGTGTGTGTGTGTGTGTGTGTGTGTAGTTGTCTGCCTCTTATAAACCCAGTGACTTTCCTTTTCCCCTTGTGAATTTCAGTCCAGCAACTAACCACTCTTACTAGATCCTATCGTGTCATCTTAACAAGAACAAATTAAGTTGTTGAATATTATGCAGATCCTGCATGATTTAATTACGTTCACCATAGAAACATGAAATAATTTGTTCAAATTACAAGTTATACTTTTGAAAATGAAACAACCGCCCAATTTCCTTTTTATGAGTGTAGGGAACTGTCTGATTGTTGAGCTTTGTTCTGTATTATTGTAGATTCTTTACATTATAAAGTGCCTTGAGGCAGCTGTTATTGTCAATTTGCATTATATGAATAAAATGAAATTAATTGTTGGCATTTATTTAAAAACAAAAACCTTTGTTGACAAATAGGCAGCCAATGGTAAATGGACTACTCTACCTGAGCACTCTTTACATTCACACAAGCAGGTTTTTGGTTTTTTTACTATACTTTACTGGAGCAGTCTGAGATCAAACCATCAACCTTACAATTAATAGATGACCTGCTCTACCTCCTGAGCTACAGCCATTAAAGAAAACCATTAAAACCACCTTTGGAACTCCTCCTGCCTTTATGCCACCACCACTATCATGGCAAAATGATGTTTGTTGGATAATTTCTGTGCTGTTGCAATGACACGAAGACTCAGTACATCCATCTGTTCCTCCGTCCGTCCATCCATCCATCAATCCATCAATCCACCTGGATGGGCTCGCAGAGGTAGTAGTGCAGAGAATCTCTGGACCAATATCCTCTTGATCCTCTAGTTCTTCTGGAGGGGACACATCAAGCCATTCAAGAGATGATCCTCTTTGTGTGTCCTGGGTCTGAACCACAAACACTGCTTGCTCTAATGTCTACGTATCGCCGATATGACAGAAGGTAAGGATGATTGCTGGATGATTTCTGTGCTGTAGCAATAACACAAAGACTCAATCTGTCCATCTTTCCATCCATTTATCTGCCGATATAACATTAGGTAAGACTTACATACTATACCGAAGCTTAGGATCCAGACACATCAATGAGTGAGTAAAGTCTTCTACATATGTGCTCCTGTAAGTAATTTTTATCCACTTCTAAGCCTTAAGTGGCCTTTTTTCCAATCACCTGACACTGATATGTTAACCCTTTGAGGTCAGAACCTTAACCCTAGCTCTATGTGTTGGGGAAAAGCAAAAAGAACTTTTGCGGACAATATTTAAATAGCATTTGATGACTCAGAATAATTATTTGTTTTGTCCTCTAGTTGACAAGATTTTGGAGTAATCACATGGGCTTGACAGGGTTGATGTCTTGGGGTAATTTTCGCTGCTTTCAATATAGCTGTGCAGTCATGGTTCAAGACACTTTCCCAAGACGTGAGTTTGGAAACCGGTGCCATCATTTGGTCTCACTGGCAGCTTTTTTTGTTTGTTGTTGGAACATGAGATTAAATCACATAAACAGATGATTCTTGCAGTAAAGGGACCAAACATGGTGCAGAGATAGGATGAAGGCTAAGACTGTTTATAAATGTGTGCGTG